GCAATCGACCGACGTCTTCGGGATGCGCAACTTGGAGGTTAAGCTTAGGAGACTGCGGCGCAGTCTAAGACAGTGGAATTGGACGGTTTTTGGAGATATTTCTCAGTGCTTTGCTGTAGCTCAGAGTGCGTATGCGGATGCTGAGCAAGCTTATGACTCATCTCCAGAGAATAAGACCGTGATGCGCCACAGTCACGCTGAGTACCAGCTCTGTCTCCTTATGGAGAAGGATTTCTAGAAGCAGAAGTCTTCCGTGAGCTGGGTGGCTGAGGGAGAACGTAATACCAAGTACTTTAAGAGGTTTGTGAGGCAGAAGCGGGTTAAGTCGTACATACGTTGTATCAAGGATAACGAGTCTTCTCTGACCCAGGAGTCCCTGATACAGGAGTCGACTGTGACACACTTCCAGTCCCTCTTCACCTTAGAGCGGGACTTGCTTACGCCCCCCAACGTTTCTCTTTTCCCCACCATCCCCCAGTCGGTCGACCTTGTTGACCTCTGTGACCTCCAAGTAGGGAGGGGGTCAGGGAGGCTATGTTTAGGATTGATCCTAACAGTGTCTCTGGCCTGGATGGCTACTCGTCTCTCTTCTTTCAGTCCTGCTGGGAGATTGTTGAGATTTATGTTGAGGAAGCCGTGGTAGATTTCTTCTCTAGTCATCAGATGCCGGAGTACTTCACGGCTACTTCTATTGTTTGGAGCCGAGCTCCTAGTTCGATTATAGACCTATCAGTCTTTGTAATGTGACCAACAAACTCATCTCCATGATTCTTAACGGTTGCTTAACCCCTCTCATTCTTTCCTTCGTCTCACGGAACCAGAGTGGTTTCATCAAGGATCGAGTCATAAGTGAAAATATCCTTTGGGCTCAGTTTTGCTCATGATATGATCCACGACATCTCCCATGCGAATCAGTTATGAGCCCCGAACCTTGTGCTGAAGCTAGATATGGCTAAGGCATATGATAAGGCCGAGTGGCTGTTTCTCAGGGAGGTTCTGTTCCAGATGTGTTTCCCCCAGCGTTGGGTTAGTTTTGTGGAGGCGTGCGTCGAGCATTTCACGTTCTCGATTTTTGTTAACGGTAGTCCCACTAACTTCTTTCTTTCTACTCGTGGTCTTCGGTAGGGGGATCCCTTATCTTCCTCCCTTTTTGTTTTGGCGGCTGACTACCTGTCTCGCTGTCTTGACCGCTTCATCCGCAAATTCCCGAGGATGACCTATAACACACGTGGTTATGGTTCCTCCATCTCTCACCTTTCATATGCGGATAATAATGATCTGGCCGAGCTCATGCTCCTACTGGGGCACTATAATTGGGACTCCAGTCAGCTTGTCAGTGTGCATAAGAGCACTTTCAGCCTTGGTCATTATATTACAGATCAGTGGGCCCATTGGGGGTCCACGAGCGCAATGGTTTTGCGCACAGCGACCTCTCCATCACATATCTTGACACCCACATGTACAAGCGCCACCTTTCCTATGAGCTATTTACTGACGTCATGCAGATGATGATTGACCATATCTCGGACTGGTCTGACAGACACCTCTCTTTTGTGGGCCGACTTGCTCTGATCAAGAGCACCATCAACGCTCTTCCACTTCACCTCCTTACGGTCTTTAGCCCCACCAGTCTACTATTCATGAGCTATATCATATCCTGGCTCGTTATTTTTTTGGGGGCATGGGGAGGGTCCCCGAAGAGGGAGACAGTTCTACTGGGTGAGTGGGACTCCGTTTGTCGTCCCTTCTTTAAGGAGGGCCTCGGGATTCGTCGTTTTTTAAATGTCGTCACCGCATTCTCTTGTAAGATGTGGTGGTGCTTTAGGGAGGGTAAGTCACTCTGGGCCCACTATCTTCATTGAAAATACTGCCCTGGAGGGGTGACGACCACTGCCCACGATAACAGACAGTGAAGGGCGGCTCATCATGGTTGGTGGACATGCTCAGAAGCACGTATTTTGGACTCTGGGTGAGGGGCTATTAGCTTTTAGGATGAGTGGTGGTTTGGTGAGGGTCCCCTCTCGAGTACTAGACAGGTCACCCATCTCCCTTTTCTGTAGGTGAGGGACCTATGGACGAATGGGGTTGGGATAGAGATAAGTTTGAGAGGATTCTGGGTACTAGAGCGGCCTTTAGTGACTAGGTTATAGATCAGATCCAACAGATACCCATCTCGGAGGACGGTTTGAACGGTATTAGGTGGAGGCTTACATCTTCGAGTACATTCTCTACGACCTCGGCTTGGGGGAAGTACGGCTGGGTGACCGGCCTAACCTTCTTTTCGGGGCCATCTGGACCGACCTATTTACCCCGACAATCTCTATTTTCCTATGGTGCCTCATTTTGCGCCGCCTACCGATTAATACTGTGATGCACGCGCAGAGGTTCTATTTCCCCTTGGGTTGCTACTGTTGTGCTGAGACCGACATTTTTCAGCCGGAGACCTTCATCCATTTGTTTTTTGAGAGCGATGTTGTGAGGAGAGTGTGAGAGCATTATACCAGTTACACTCATATACCCCTAACCCCCACAGATAATTTTTTTGAGCTTCTGAGTTTTTTCAGACGTAGCACACACGATAGGCACGTGGACTTCCTTATTCCTTGTCCGTTCCTTTGGGCCACAAGAACATAAATGAATAATGCGAAGCATAGGGATATTTCTATTTTGTGTTCTCATATTATTTTGCACGTTGACCGTCATCTCTCTCCCCTCACTGCTTTGGGCAGACTCACCCAGGGACAGACTGCACGCCACCTCACAGCCTTGCACCACCTCCGTTGCCGCTTATCTAGCATCCACGCACCAGAGGTGTTGTTTGGCTGAAATCCGAGCCTCCTTGGGTTAAGCTAAACACTGACGGAGAATATGACCGACTTACCGGAACTACTGGAGGTGGGGGCCTGATTAGGGACCATATTGGCGCCCATATTACCGCTTTCCATGCCCCTCTTCGGGCCTCCTCGAGCTATGTCGCAGAGGTTCATGCGCTTTAGATCGGCGTTCAGATTGCTGCCTCGATCTCCTCTGACATTTGGATCGAGTTGGACGTTGTCACTGTCATCACACTCTTGACCTCTGGCCATCAGGGCACTTGGCAGATTCAGCATTCTGCGGATTAGAGCCATTTTTTGGTCAATTCTCTATCGGATCTCACACATTTTTCGCGAGAGAAACCGGCCTCCTGTTTTTCTTACTTGCATCGGGACCTCCTCCCCCTAGAAACGTATTGTTCAGTCTGACGATATTTCTCTCCGCCTTCGTACCCTGATACGAATGGACTTGATGGGTTACTCATCGTTCAGATTTGGGTAGTCGGCCCTACCTTTTGGTGCCTTTGCTCCCTCGTGATGCTGACTCTTCGCCTGAACTCCTTTCAGACCAGAATAAGATTTTTTGGTGTTATTTGCTGCTGTTGTCTCTTTTTTTTCTTGTTTCTTTTATTTTCGTTTATTTAGACCATTGTTTTTTGGACATTCGACTGTAGATTTGTGAATTTTAAACCCATTTAGTGTCTTTTTATATATACAAGTGGGGCGTTCGGCTTTAACCCCACCCTTCTAGGGTGTTGTTTTCTTTAAAAAAAAAAAAAAGAAGAAGAAAAAGAAAAACGAAGGAGAGTAATGTGATGCTCTGTCAAAAGTTTTGATTTTTAGTTATTGGCTTAATTAACGCAAAGTTATTACTTCCCCTTAAATTTCAATGCAATCATAAGAGAATTAAGAAACCCATTATTACGATGAAAGAATCGAATTTTTTCAGGTGCTTTTTTTTGGTTCGACAACATGGCTAACTATTCAAAAGTACAATAACGCGCTCTGCTAGCTTTTTATGTTCGAGAACATGGCTAACTATTCAAAAGTACAATAAAGCGGTCTGCTGGTTTGGAGGATTAGTCATCCAATTTTCGTAACAATTTCCTTGTAATGTATTATTTTGTCCTAATAAATAATGCTTTGGGTCTGAAAGCTTTAATTAGTCATGCAATTAATTAAACTCTTTTAAGACAAAACTGTATTCTGAAAAGCACTGGATTCTGTATGTGGCCGAGTGTGAGCAGATATTATCCATTTGTGATCGTTTTTGTTTATTTTTTCTCTTGGGAGCTTTAGAGTTTTGTGTTTTGATTTCTAGCGTTGTTAGTGTCGGTTTTAGGCAGACTTCAGATCCGACTTCTCTATTTATTCAACTTTTAGTTGTAATTTGACCAAGGGCACGTTTGTGCAGTTTAATTTATAAAAGTCTCTATCCTTCCGA